TCGACTCTTAATTTCATCTCAGGTCATGATTTGGGGGTCCTGGGATCAAGCCCCATGTTGGGCTCCACGCTCAGTGTGGAGTCTGCTTGTCCCTCTCCCTCTGCTCCTTCCCCTGCTCTCTCTCTCTCTCAAATAAATTAATAAATAAATAAATAAATAAAACCTTAAAAAAAAAAGAACCACACTGAACTGCCAGTTCACACCCAATAAAATGAGTAATCAAAATTACAGACAATAACAAGCATCGAAAGATGTCGGAAAATGGGAATCCTCAGACACTGTTGGTGGGATTGTAAAATGGTGTGACTACTTTAGGAAACAATTTGGCAGTTCCTCAAAATGTTATATACATAAAGCTGCCATATGACCTGGCAATTACACCCCCAGGTATATGCTCAAGAGAAATGAAAACACATGCTCATACAAAAATTTGTACATGAATGTTCACAACAGCATTAATAGGTAGAAATAAAACAAATTCCATAAACTGCTGAGTGGATAACTGAAATGGGGTATTGTCCATACAATGGATATCATTTGGCAATAAAAAAAAGTACTGTTATATTCTATAACACAGATGAACCTTAAAAACATTATGCTATGTGAAAGAAGCAGTCACAGAAGACCACACATTTTATGATTTATATAAACTGCCCAGAATAGGCCAATCTGCAGGGACAGAAAATAGATTAATGGTTGCCTAGTGCTGCAGGTCTGGGGGATGGGGAGTGACTGGTAGTAGGTATGGAGTTACTTTTTGGGGTGATGAGAATGTTCTAAACTTAGATTGTGATGGTTACATCACCTTTCATTTACCAAAAACCATCTGATTTTACCTTAATAGGCGAAGCTTATGGTACACGAATTATCTTTCAATAAATACGTTAATACCACTTTCAATAGCACCCAAAATCATGCAGTATGTTGGGGTAGATTTTACAAAGTATGTATATGACCAGTTCCCTGAAAACTATAAAATATTAGTAGGAAAAGTTAAAGTTAAGTTAAAGACATATGTTAGAGTGAAAAGTGAAAGACTTAAACAAATAGAGAAACATATGTTCAATTATTAATGACTCAAAATTGTTAAGACGCCAATTCCCCTCAGAGCAGTCTATAGACTCAATACAACCTCTGTCAAAATCCCTAAAGACTGATTTTTAAAGAAAGTCTATTTTGAAATTTCTATGGAAATGCTCAGGACCTAGAATTTGCCAACACACTTTTAGAAAAGACCAACAAAGTTGGAAGACTCACACTAATTTTAAGATTCACTATAAAACTACGATAATCAAATCACTGTTATGAGAGTAAAGGTAAAAAAAAAAATCAATCAATGAAACAATATAGAAATATCTGCATATTTTATGTGCAGTTGCACATATATGGGCAACTGATTTATGGAAAAATGCCAACAAATACAAATATAGTGAAAGGACGGTCTTTAAAAAAAAAAATGTGGTGCTAGAGCACTGGATAGAAACTCAGAAAAAAATGTTTCACTATCCTTACTTTATACCATGCAAAAAAATTATCTTGAAATGGATCGACTTAAATATAAGAGCTAAAACAATAGCACTTCAAGAAGTAAATTTAGAAGAGAACATTTGTGACCTTAGTTTAGGCAATGATTTCTCAGGACACCAAAGAAATGAACCATAAGAGAACAAAATGTCAGGGGTGCCTGGCTGGCTCAGTTGGTTAAGCAGCTGCCTTCGGCTCAGGTCATAATCTCAGGGTCCTGGGATTGAACCCTGCATCAGGTTCCCTGCTCAGCGGGGAGCCTGCCTCTCCGTCTGCCACTCCCCGCTGCTCATGCTCTCTCTCTCTCTCAGATAAAATATTTTTTAAAAAAGAGAAAAAAAGTCAAATTGAACTTTATAAAAATTAAAAACTTGTGCTCTTCGAAAAAAACTATTATGAAAAGGCAAGCCATGTACTAGGAGAAAATACTTGAAATAAATAAATATATTTTAAAGATTTTATTTATAATAATATATAATACATAAACTTATAAATATATAGATTTTCTATATTTATATCTATACATATATAAGATGTTTATATATTTATTTATATATTTTATATATATTTTTTAAAGTTTATTTATTTATTTGACAGCGAAACAGCAAGAGAGGGAACACAAGCAGGGGGAGTGGGAGAGGAAGAAGCAGGCTTCCCGCGGAGCAGGGAGCCCTTTGCAGGGCTCAATCCCAGGACCCTGGGATCATGACCTGAGCTGAAGGCAGACGCTTAACTACTGAACCACCAAGGCGCTCCAACACTAGTGAATCTTACTGCATATAAATTATATCTCAATAAAGCAGATATAAAAAAACGACTCAAAGAAATGGAAACAATGAGATCCAAACCTACTAAATAAATGACAGTAGTTCAAAATCAAACCAGTCCCACATAGTTTGTTCACTTCCTTACTCACTCATTCATTATATGCCGAGTTTCCACAATATACCAGGCACTACTCTATAGGCATTATGGTGAAGGCAGTAAACGAAACAGGCAGAGTCCTTGCTCTCTTGAGGCTTAGATCCTGGCTGGGGAGAAAGACAAGGCACAAATGAAGACTGAGCCAGTGATGGGTCCCATGCGGGAAAAAGTGATTATCGAAGGGTAGGAAGAGGGGGTGCCGTTTGTGGTCAGGGAAGACTTCTTCAGTGGGAGGACATATGAGCAAAGTTTGAATTGAAGATGGGGGCAAGTGTGTCCTTCTCACGGGAACATTAAATGCAAGACTCCTAGAAAGGGGTATGTTTGGAATTTTCAAGGTATGGTCAAGAAAGCCAGTGTTGTTTGAGCAGGGTTAGGGAGGGGAGAGTAGCAAAGGTTGAGATTAAGAGAGGTTTCTGCAGGCCAGGACATAAAGGACCTTGGATTTCATTCGAAGTGAAATGGGAAGCCACTGACCTAGGTGTTCTAGGAGAGAAGCAATGTGATCTGACTTTTGTTTAAAAGGATCCTTCTGGGGGTGCCTGGCTGGCTCAGTCAGAAGAGCTTGCAACTCTTGATCTCGGGGTTGTTAGTTTGAGTCCCACGTTGGATGCAGAGATTACTTAAATAAATATTAAAAAAAAATTAAAAGTATCCTTCTGGCAGCTGTGCATAGAAGAGATCAGGAGTTGGGGAAAAGTTTTTTGTAGATATTCGGTAAATATTTTAGGCTTGTGAAGCATATGGTCTCTGCGGAGACTACTCAGTTCTGCTGTTACCAAGTGAAAAAAGGCATGAATAATACATAAATGAAGGCGTGTGGCTGTGTTTCAGTAATACTCTATTTACAAAAACAGGCAGTGGGCTGGGTTTAATTCTGCAGTTTGTTGAACCCCGGAATAGACTATAAGGAACCAAGGGTAAAGGGTAGGTAGACCAGGTAGGAGGCCCTGCAATAAAATTGAACAAGAGGTAATGGTCACCTGGACCAGGGTATAGTAGGGAGGTGCTGAGAGGTGGTCAGACTGGTTGGTGTATGTTTGAAGGTAGAGCCAACAGGATTTGCTGGTGATATGCGGTGTTTGAGAAGGAGGTTTTTGTCCTGATTAACTGGAAGAGCAATTATATCCTGGGGGAGGATCAGGTTTGGGGGTGGGGAAAGAGATTATTGATAAAAATCAAGAGTTTGGATTTGGATTTGTTAAGTACGGGTTATCTCTTAGGTATCAAATACATTGAGCAGGACAGAGGATCTGGAGCACAAGAGAGAGACTAGGTTTACAGAAATAAATATCAGAGTCTTCATTTGTAAAAATGGTCTTTAAAACCCTGGCAATGAATGAGATCTAGGGAGATCTCATGGACAGAGGGGGAAAAAAAGTTTAAGGACAGTTTTACAGATGGGCCTCCCAGGTCTTCAGGGACAGATGATACTGGTCTTACCTTCACTGTTCCACCACATAGAAGGAGAGAACACTCCATCCCCCTGTTCATGAGGCTAGTATGCCTTGACACCCAAATAAGATAAGGAGTTTATGGGTCAACGTCACTTATAAGTATATAAGTTTTTTTTTAAAAAGTTTTAATCTATTAGCAAAGCAAATCTAGAAATTTATAGTATGATCAAATAATGTTTATTTTAGGAATGCAAAGTTGACGGAATAGTATTCTATTAATATAACTTACCACATTAACAGGTTAAAGAAAGAACCTATGATTATCTGAATAGAAAAGCATTTGCTAACCATTTATGATTAAAATGAAGAAATCCCAATTTTAAAAGGGAGAGGACTAGATGGGGACTTCCTTGACCTGAAAAAGGTGTCTACCAAACATGTCATACTTAATGGAGAAACATTAGAAGCATTCCTTTAAAAATATACATATAGTGGCTCCTGGGTGGCTCAGTGAGTTAAGCGGCCAACTCTTGGTTTCAGCTCAGGTCAAGATCTCAGGGTCAGGAGATCCAGCTCTGTGCTCAGCATGCAATCTGCTTAAGACTCCCTCTCCACCACACTGACGTGCATTTGCTCTCTCTCAAATAAATAAATCTATAAAAATATACATATATATCAAGAATGAAACAAGGACATTTACCGTTATAATCTTACTTAATATTATACTGGAGGTCCGAGACAGTGTAGTTGGATTAAAAAAGACACAAAAACTGCCATTAACAACGATGATTTGCATAAAGAACTCAAGATAATTAGAAAAAGAATTTCTGGATACACAATCAGTATGGAAGTCATCAACAGTGTCCTGTCACCAGCATCAAAAGGTTTAAAAACGTGATTTTGAAAAGTGGTTAACTTGCCCAAGGTCACACAGCTCGTAAAGGGTGGGCTGGGATGGAAATGGGGCTCTCTGCCTCCTAAGTCCAGGGCTCTCGGTCACGGGCTATATAGCCTCTCAGGCAGGACTGCCCTACTGCTGAACAACTGTATTTCCCCTTGATGTCTGTCCATCCCCCCCCAGGGGGTGAGGCCTGAGCTGGGCCTCCTACCGCCCCAGGGCAGGCAGTCTCCCTAAGCCTGCGGGGAAAGGCTCACCATGGGTAGCACAGAGGCCTGAAGCGAGGCAATGGTGATGGGCTTGGTCTTCTTGTCTTCCTGGCTGGCTGGGGGTAGGATTTCCACGAGGTTCATCTCTTCTCTGGCTTTCTCCCCCAAGCAAACCTGAGAGCGGTTGGAGACAGGCCACCTCATCACGGGAGGGCAGCGGAGGGAAACCCTGTTCCACCTTCTGGGACCAGAGAGCCCCCCTGGCTCTCCGCAGCTGTCCAAGTCCCTCCCGGCTGCATCCGACCACCCTTCCTGCGGGGAGGCACCCACCGTACTGAGCAACAGCTTACAGTCCTGCCTCCCCTCCTTCTGGGCTTTGACCGTCCAAGTCCGTTTCTCCTGGTTTAGCTCACAGCCTGCGAAGGGAGAGGGGCGAGGGGGCCGGGCCGGCTCAGGGGAGGGGCTCCCCGTCCCCCCCCCCCCCCCCCCCGGGCTCGGGAGCTGCCGGGCCCTCACTCACCCCAGAGCGTGGCCCTGGGCGCCTTCTCGGCCGCGCTGCTCGTGCTGCTGAGATTCATGCCGCTGGGTGCGGGAGCCGGGGTCCCGGCGGCTGTGCGGAACGGGCGTCCGCGGTGAGCCGAGGCCGGGCCCGCCGCCCCCGCCCGCCCGGCGCCCAGCGCGGCCACCCGCGTCCCGCCCCGCCACCCCGAGCCCAAGCCCCCGGACGGCACAGCGGGGCAGCCCCGGGGCCTGCGGAGCGGGGCGCTAGACGCTTAGGTCGCCCGGGCTGGAGAGGGAACGGGAGCCGCCCCGGCGGGCCCTTCGGGTGCCCTGGGAGCCCCGTCGGTGCCGTCGTGGTCCCGGCTGTCCCTCCCCTGGGCCGGGCCCTCTCGCCAGCCCGCCGCCGCCTCCCGCGCTCGGGCCTCCTCCCAGGCCCACCTGAGCGTCACCGCCCACTGCAGGCTGTTAGGGGGCTCGCGAAGGGGCAGCAGGGGGGCGTCGACTCAGTCTTAAAGGAGAGGCCCTTCTTTCCCCGTTCGACGCTGCCATTCCTTCCTCCACTTCCTGCCTCGGCGCACCTGGACGCTTGTTAAAGCGCAGGGCCGGGTCCCATCTCCGCGGCGCCGGGCGTTGGAGGGCTGGGTGGGGCCAAGGTCATTTGCATTTCTAACAGGTTCCCAGGTGAAGTTGCTTGCCGTTGGTCCAGGACCAGGCCGTGAGCAGCACCTTCGGGACCACTGGGGATTCACCAAGGCCTACTGGGTGAGACCGCCGAGCTTAGACTTGCCTCGCCACCCCATGGGAAGCCGCTTTAAGGCTTTTCCTGCTCATCGCCGTCCTTCCTGCCCTTTCCCTACCCTCTAGGTGCGGGCCCTTTCCAAGGCCAGGAGGGCCGGTCCCCCAGGGTTATGGTCCCCAGAGAAGAGCCCTGTTTCCAGAAGGATGATTTCTCCCATGGCGAAGAAGGGGTGGGGATGAGTTTGGTCACCAGAGAGGCTGCTGTGGCTCCTGGTGAGGAGTACACCTTATGAGGACCAGTCACTGAACAACAGCCGTTCACAGGGCTCAGGGCAGCGCTTAAATGTTTGTTTCGGCGCGCTAGGGGTAGTGAAGAGGAGGCTTTCCAGCGACCACATCCCCGTCTCTCTCGCTCATGTGACATCTCTGACGTCAGAAATAACCAGGGATCTCTCTGATTAAATTCTTTTCTTTCCCTCCCTCCCTTCTTCTCTCCCTCCTTCCCCTCCCCTTCCTCCTCCCCTCTCCTCTCCCTTCCTTTTTCTCTTTCCTTTTTTCTTTCTTTTCCTTCTTTCTTTTTCTTTTCTTTTCTTTCTTTCTTTCTTTCTTTCTTTCTTCCTTTTTCTTTCTTCTCTTTCTTTTTCTTTCTTTCTTTCTTTCTCTCTCTTTCATGAAGTATAGTTGATCTGATTGCATTTTTATCCTTCACTCCCATCCAGGAAACTTCTCACCTACAAATAAGGTTCAATGCTTTTCAACAAAAGTACCAAGGTAATTCAATAGGGAAAAGATAGTCTTTTCCAAAAACAGTGCCATAGGAACTGGACATACCTCTGTAACCTTGATTGGAGCTTCTGCTGTGCAGGAATCAGGTCCCCCCCCCCCCACACACAACAACTTTACTGAGAAATAATTTATGTACATAAATGCACTCATTTAAAGTGTATAATTTGGGGTGCCTGGCTGGTTCAGTCAGTGGAGCAAGTGATTCTTGACCTCAGGGTTGTAGTTTCAAGCCCCACACTGGGTGCAGAGATTACTTATAAATAAAATCTTTAAAAAAGTGCATAATTTCGATGAATTTTGACAAATGTTTATAGCTGGGTAGCCACCACCACAGTCCAGTTATAATTTCCATCATTCTCCCAAATTTTCTTGTTTCCCTTTGCAGTCAGAATCCTCACCCTAATGTCTAACTGGCATCAGGCAAGCACTTACCTATTCTGACACTGTGGATCATTATTGACTGTTCTAGAATTTCCAAATAAGTAGAATCCTACAGGGTCTTTTCGTCTGCCCTCTTTTGTTGAACAAAATGTGTTGGAGACTTATTCATCCATACCGTTACTTCTATCAGTAGTTTGTTTCTGTTTATTGTTGAGTAGTAGTCCACAATTTGTATACCCAGTCACCTGCTGGTCAGTTTTATGTGTCAGCTTGACTAGACTATCATACCCACTTACTCAATCAAACACTAATGAAGATGTGGCTGTGAAGGCACTTTGTAGAGGTGATTAACACCAATAATCGGCTGTCTTTATATAAAGATTACTCTCAGTAATACGGGTCGCTTGATCCAATCAGCTGAAAGTCCTTAGGAGCAGAACTGAGGTTTCCCTTAAAAAGTTCTGCCTGTGGACTGCAGCTTCAGTTCCTGCCAGAGACCTTCCAGTTTGCTTTTCCTGATGACCTGCCCTCCGGGTTTCAGACCTGTAGCCAGCCCCCATAACTGCATGAGCCAATTCCTTGTGATACGTCTCTGACTCATATACCCTTTGATGGATATTTGGGTAGTTTTTAGTTTTAGACATATATTATGAATAAAAATGCCATTAACATTAGAGAGCAAGTCTTTGTTCGCATGGATTTATGTTTTAGTTTTTCTTTGGTAAATACCTAGGAGTGGAATTGCTGGATCATTTTGTAAGCATATATTAAACTTTATGTGAAACTGTAGAACTATTTTCCGAATTCCTGTACCATTTTGCATTTCTACCAGCAATGTATGAAAATTCCAGTGGCCATTCATCTTCATCAACACTTGGCATTGTCAATCTTCTTAATTTTAGCCTTTCTAGTGGATGTATATAGTGACGTCTATTTATTTGTATTTGTTTGATGACAAGTGATGTTGAGCATCTTTTCAAGAGTTTACTGGTCATTTGTGTATCTCCTTTTGCAAAATACCTGTTTAAATATTTTGTCCATTTTTAAATTGGTCTATTTTGGGTTATTGTTACTGAATTGTAGGGATTCTTTATACACTTTGGATACCTGTGTTCTGTCATGTATATGCATTACAAAGGTTTTTTATTCCTGCCTATGGCTTGTGTTTTCATTTTTTAAAATGGTATCTTTTGAAGAGCAGACATTTTAAAATTTGACGAAGTCCAATAGATTTTTTTCCTTTTATGGCGCATGGCTTTGGTATTCGAAGCAATCTTTGCTTAATGCAAGGTCATGAAAGTTTTCTCCTAAATTTTCTTCTAGAAATCTTGTAGTTTGAACTTTTACATCTGTGATCCATTTGAAGTTAATTGTGTGTGTGGTGTTAGGTAAGAGTCGAGGTTCAGTTCTTTTTTTCTTTCAAGTGGATCCCCAGTTCCTCCAGCACCATTTTTGTAAAAGACTATCCTTTCTCTATTGAAATACCTTGGCACTCTTGTTGAGAATGAACTAAGCATGTACATTTTGGTCTATTTCTGGACTTTTTTTCTGTCCCATCGATCTGTCTGCCCCAGTGCCCACACTACAGTAGTGATTTCTGTAATGTTATGGTATATCTTGAAATCAGGTAGGGGAGCTCTCCAACTCTGTTCTTCTATTTCAAAAATGTTTTGGCTAGTCTAGGTTTTTTGTTTTTTGTTTTTTGTTTTTTTTGCATTTTCAAATGAATTTTAGAATCAGCTTGCCAGTTTCTACAAAAAAACTTTCTGGGATTTTTATTGGGACTTTGTTGAATGCATAGTTCAATTTAGGGAGAAATGACATCACAATTTTGAGTCATCCAAACTATGAACATGTTATGATCTTTCCAGTTGTTTAAAGATTGTGCTCTGCAATGTTTCATAGATTTTAGTGTGTACAAGTTTGGCACATAGCTTGTTAAATTTATTCCTATGTATTTCATGTTTTTTGGATGCTAGGACAAATAGTATATATTTTGAAATTTCATCTTCTAATAGCTTATTTTTAGTATATAGAAATACAGTTGGTTTTTTATACTGACCTTGTATTCTGTGATTTTGCTAAATTCGATTAGTTCCAGTAGCTTTCTGAGCCCCAAATCGTGACATCTGTGAATAGTTTCACTTCTTTTTGATCTGTGCACCATTAATTAATTAAGTGCCTATGTGCTCTGATTAGGACCTCAAGTACAATATTAAATTGAGGTGGTAAAGGAGGTATTCTTTGTTCTTGATTTTTAGGGGAACCATTCAGTCTTTCATCATTACATTCTATTAGTGGTAGGCTTTTTGTAGAGGGCTTTTAATTGGTAAAGAATGTTTCCTTCTATTCCTAATTTGCTGAGAATCTTCATGTGTATTGAATCTTGTCACGTGCTTTTTCTTTATCTACCGAGATGATCAGCTTTTTCGCTTTCATTTTGTTTATACAGCTAATTACATTTATTGGTTTTCTGAATGTTTTAAACCAACCTTGCATTCTTAGGATCAATCCCATTTGGCCAGGATGTATTAGCCTTTTCATATATTCCTGGATTTAATTTGCTTATATTTTAAGATTTTTTGCGTTTATGACGTATATTAGTCCAAAGGCTTTTTTTTTCTTTTAATGTCTTTGTCTGGTTTTGGTATCAGGGAGATGTTTGTTCTATAAAATAACTGGGAAGTGTTCCCCCTTGTTTTCTGATGTTTTGTCCAAGAGCAGGGAAGTCTCCTTAGATCAGAGTTCCATTCAGGTTCACCAAGAGCTCTGCACTCATCCCCATACTGTTTCATGCTTCCTCTGCCTTGACTCAGTGGCTGCTCCATTCTAGAACCTGGGAATCCTACCAGAACCCTCTATCCTTTACTCTTCACATCCAACAAAGTCTGTTGATTCCAACCTCCACCCCCTATCTCTCCAGTCTTGTCTCAACTCTCACCCAACAGTCCTTGTCTTGGTTCAAATCCTCATTACCCACTAGCTGGTAGATTCAACAAAGATTGGTCATTAGCCTGCTTTGTAATGTAGCCTCTGGAAACTTGAGGCTTTTCGGATCAAAGCCCAACCTCTGGTGCCCCACCCCTCAACCAGACACGTACAGAGCTAGCTACACTTTTTCCTCCAGCCGCGCTATTTTTGCAACTTCTAGAAAGGTACAAGGTTTCATGCTTCGGTGTTTTTGCACTGTGAGTGTTCTTCCCTGCCCTTTTCCGAGTGACTCGTTCTGCTAGGGCTCGACGCGGGGGACGGGGGAGGCCCTCTTTCGCACTCCCAGGGTATACAGAGCCACCAACGATCATCCTTTTCCGCCCGTTTGCCCCCTCCACTGAGTCCTTCCCAGCCAGGGACCAAGTCCTTGAACAGTGCCTCTATGATTACCACCGCGGATACTGGGTGTGAGGCCATGGTACGCGTGAACTCGAACCCCTACCGGGCACACGGCTGGGTGGGGGTCCAGAGGCTGCCGTTGCCCTACTCCGCCTTCCCCAAGAACGATCCCTCCAGCCCCCCACGCCAAGGGCTGGAGAACGCAGTTGGGAGTCACGACTGCGATTGCGCAGGGC